TTTCCCCTCTCCCGCCCCAAGAGCCGTTTGTGTCTTGCCACTGCCAATGTGCAGTGAGCTGTGCCACCTGCCATCGACTGCTTGTATGGGAAAGGGGGATTTAAGAATGCAAGACGATGAGCAGCACTTAGACAGCCTGGGACACCTCCAGGGTTTTATGGCAGGGTGAGGTGGGAAGGGAGAGAACGTCGTCCCTGGAGAAGCGGGGGAAGGTTGGAGACTGCTCCCGTGGTCGGGGGGGTTCATCCTTGGGTGTTCAGAGCAGACTTGGTGTTCTTGGTGAAGCAAGGTCTTCTCCCAGCACATTTAGTGTGCGGTGCCGGTCTGCACCAGATTGCATCACCTAGTCTTGCCCATTATCCAAATTATAGCATGCTCTTCCCTATCAGGGTTGGAAGAGGTGGTCGGGAGGAGGGGAGTAGTTGCCACCTCAGTGTGGGCTGTCCAGCGAAGCCCCGATTGCTTTTCCATGTCATGGCTTCCCATCTCTGCCTGCCACAGGGAGCTTTACTTGGGCCAAGAGCAGACCACGCTGATTGAGTTCTCCGCTAACCATCGCTTGCTTGCTTGTTGGTGTTGCTGAGCCTGCTCTTATCCTTCCTACTATCAGTTTTAATTAGAAAACTCTACACCCCACAGCTTGGTTTTGTGAGGGATGCCAAAGACGTCACCAAGGAAAGCCAAAGAGGATGACCAGCAAACTTTGTTAATGAGCGGAAGACTAATGAACTTTTTAATTAGCAGGCGTGCAGGTGCAAGAAGAAGGTGCAGTGAGACATGCACATCATGACAGCAGAAGCATGCAAAGAGGCATCAGCTGAGCACCTGAAATTGCTTCTGATGGAGCAGGAGCTTCTCGCGCGTCCTTGGGCCTGGTTGTGCTTCCTGCCAGCCGGGCAAACAAGGACGGCAGCACGTCAGGTACAATGCCTGAACCTCTCTTTTGGTTTTGATTGGAGAAAGATGGGCCGTTCCTGCCCAGCTCAGAGCAGCATGGGAGAGCAGTGGTGAGCTCCGTGCAGTCAAGGGGAGAAGAGGGAAAGTCTGTTTTGAGTTGCTCTGAGGAGGACAGCTAGCTCCGGCTATGGAGCTGCTCCTGGACTGAGGGCTTCCTTCTGATTCTCGAGGTGTCAGCTCTCAAAATCTGCCTGGTGATGATCGGATGCCAGGTTGGTTCCCAACGCTGGCACCTCTTTGTGCCCCCAGGACAAGCTTGCTGCCCTTAGGAGACATGAAAGGGTTTGCCTCTGAGAACTGGAGATGGAGACAGATTCTTTACTTCCACTCGCACAAGTGTGGTCCTCAAACTTATAGCATGTTGTGAACACGTGTGGGTTGAGGTGTGATGAACCAGAGCGTTGACAGGCTACAGGTGCTGCAACAGGCAGACCCAGGCTGAAAGCTGTCCCAGGCAAGCAATACTGAAAGTCTCTGTGCTGCGTTTTACAGAAAAGGTTATACCAGCTACTTCTACATCTCTCTGCAGTAGGAGTTTGCTGGTGAAGACTGGGATGTGCAAACTCCTGCAAAAGCAGTGCCACAAGTCCTGTTCAGAAGCACATGTCTGTAAAATAAACTCCTTTGAGATTACTGTGAAAGGGCCATGACTGTTCTTAATCCAGAAGGAGAAATCTAGCAATATCCTGCTATGCTTAGAAAGCCCTGCACAGCCCTGGGAGGCATCACTGTGTCCTTCACCTTCAGAGTGCTGCTGGCTTCACACAGCTGAAGTAGAAGTGTTTAACATTCATATAGCCACGAGGGGGGAAAGACAGCCAACGTTCAGCAGTCTGGGTCTTATGGCATTGGCCTGTCAGTCTTTGTTTTGTCCAGTGTGGATATGCAGTGGTCTTTCATTGAGTCTCCTCACCATTTGGAGATGGTGACATCCTGTACACATTAAACCTGGTATTACACTTACCCCCTGAAGTCCAACGTGGAGTCCAGTGCCTTAATCCAGTTTGCCCTGATGCAGCTGAACTACCCCTGTGCAGCATAGCTCTTTGATGCCTCTTTCTTCTGGCATCCTTTGCATCCTTTCCTCCTTATGCTTGCTAGTTTTTCTGACATCCAGGAAAGGTTCCTCTGTTGGGGTCTTCCAGGTCCTAGGTGGATACCGTGCTCAGTTAAATGGGGTGCTCTAATGCTGTGGAAAAGCCATCCAAAAGTGCCTCCATTACGTGTCTGATTTGATGTGAGGATAGAATTTCTTTCCGTGTGGTTACTCTTGCCCAGGATCTCAACTTCTTTCATAGTCAGTAAGATAAGGCTTTGAGCCATTTCTTTGCATGCTTTCTCCTTTCGTCCATGATATTATTTTCACACCTTCTCCTTTCCTTACAGAGAACCATGATGTACCTGGGATGCAGCTTGTCAGTAATAACCATACATCGACTGGTGGCATGGATGTGTCCGGCTGTGGTGGGTAATGATCCCTCTCCCGGCTGCCTTTGCCCTTTGCACTAAAACTGCCAAGATGGATTTCTGCTAAACAAATCACGAGTTCTTCCAATTGCAGCAGTTTGATGCTCCTCGCTTACAGAAAAGACCAAGTGTTTGGCTGCTCCTGTGTTTGCCTGTCATATGTTTAAAGTGCTGTTCTGGAAGCCATTTAATTACAGCCCTAGTGAGATGGGCTAAGCTGTCCTCTCTTCTGATAGAGATCTCCCGAGGGCTTCTTTAATGGCGCTGTCAGATGTTTCTGCATTCCTACATGGAGCAATTACTTATCCCGTGTAATTTGCCCACTGATGGAGGAGTTCTTCCACAAGATACGATACTTGTTCACGTTCCACGGCACTTGGTGTTTTCTTCCTGCTTTAGTTTGGCAGCTGGTGGCAGCCAGGCCCGTGGTGATCTCGGGAGGGGACCCTTCTTTCCAAAATTCTTCTATCCAACGCCTCATTCCCTTTAACAGAGATCTCTGCTGTTCCCGTGGGTGTTTTGTGACAGCTTAGTCTAGTTGGCGTGTAATTTGACCGCACCGGTGCCAGGCACTTTGCGGTGTTAGTGCCTGCCATGGGGCTTTGGGTGTTCATTGGGCAGACTGGTGGGGAGAGTAAGTAGCTGCTGCTCAGGCAGTGTTTCACTGTGCTGAGTCGCCCCGAATCCTAAAGGTTCCTCTTTTCCACAGGTTGACTGTCTTCCCACGTGGAGATACAAACGTGAGAGGCAGCAGGCATGTCTTGACCTTGCAAGTGCTGCATCAACAAGGGCACAGATTGTATTTCCTGAGGCACCCATTTCTAGCCTGATGTCTTTTCTAGCTGTTTGGGAGGTGTCGGCAGCTCCTCATCTGATTTGGGTACTGTTGGAGCCCCCTCCCTCCTCTTGTGGGCACTTATCCCAGTTTGCAGTCCTTAGGAGCTCCGAAAGTCTTCTTTCTGGGTAGAGGCACCTCTGGACCTGGCTTGCTGAGCTGACGCCGCGAGCCCATGTCTTCAGCTCAGCCCTCAGAGAGAGACGTGCCTTCTGTCAGGGTCCAGATTTCAGAGGTGCCTTTGGTGGCCTCCGTATGTTCAAACCTTGTAATTTCCAGGAGGCTGCTGGTGGGGCCAATTATCTAGCTGGACTTCTCATCCCTCGTGTGGAATTTGCAGCCACTGCACATTTGTATGGCAGGAACCTGGGTACGGGGGATGGCTTTAATTAGCTTGTGTCTCGGCTGGGACGTGGAGGCCTCCAGAGCCGAAGAAGTCCTGGTGGAAATCAGCAGAGCCCCAGGATCAGATACGGGAGGTTGCATTTAGGAAAAAGACCTGCATGGACCAGCAGATTTTTCCTCTAGATTGGTGGTTAGCAAGGCGGAAACAAGCCACGGCGCTGGTCTGGCACCTCCCAAACGCTTAGGAGCGATGGCTCCTCCCTTGGCAGCTTGCTTTCTCCCCCCACCCCTTTGCCTTGTATATAAGGCCCCCTCGGAGCAGCCTTGGCACAACACAACCCGCTCCGGCGAGGCAGACAGCAAGCTGCACCTCCAGTTCCAGCACCTCTGCTCCTGAGGAGAGTGAACCAGGCGGCCTTCAGCATGGGTAAGTTCTAAGTTCAGTCCTATCTGAGAGTCTCTTGAAGCTTTTTTCCTTTCTGGCTGGCATGTTTTAACACAAGCTATATACCCAGACTGTGTTTTTACTGGGCTGATGACTAGCCTGTCTCTGTGTGTCAGATCCATGACATTTACTCTTTTCCACTGTCCCCTGTGTGCTTGGCTGTAGTTGAATCATCTTTTTTTTTGTGTCCTGGGACAAGTCGGCTCTGACTCGCTTCCAGAGCATCTTGGTGCTGCTAGTGAGCTTTTGAGCACATGCTCTGAATCACCCTCTCAGTGGCTACTCAGCATGGAAAATGGCCTCTAGTGACCCAGGTGGTTTAGGGTATCCAGCATTTTTGCAGAGTTCAGCATGTTTCTGTTGTGCTGCAGTGTCAGAGATGTTCTGTTGTGCACTGTACCAACCTGCTTGCTGTCATCCTAAATGGGAAATCGGCATTTACCTGTCTCTCAAGGCTGCAAAGACAGGTTATCTGCATCTGCTGTGCATCTTTGAACTGATTAGTCCCATTTAAGCTTTAACATTTCCACAGATCTCCTTTAGTGCAGGGAGCGGTCTTATCATCTCTTAAATTGTTGGTTGCATTAAAGTTCCCATTTCTCTGTGCCTCCCTGAGTGAACCCTAACTCTACCTTGACTGCCTAGGTGATCCACCGCCTGCCCATGCCCAACCTCAAAGACGAGCTGCATTCCTCGGGGTGGAGCGCTGGCTGCACCTGCTTTGACAATATCACAACGAAAAGGAACAAGCTGATTCTTCCCTGCTTGATTTCTTCCCGCATTTACGTGGTGGATGTGGGTTCACAGTGCCGGGCTCCCAAGCTGTGTAAGGTATGCCTGAGGTGATTCAAAGACAAGTTTCTGGGAAGGAGTTGGGAACTGGTGCTTCTGGAATAATACCCAGGGAAGAAGGGTTCTCTCTTCATCTTCTCTTCCACCCTGATTTTAGAGAGCTGGGTCACGTTTCCCTCTCAGCTCTCTCCTTTTCAGACCAGGGAAGGCTCCGCTCATCATTGCGTTCCTTTCTCTGTACGTGTTTCGTTCAGAGAACGGAAACCCCATGCCTGCCCCCACCCAAATAGGGAGGTGGACAGACAAGCTGTTATGAGTTAGGTGTTGCTGCATTCTTGTTGTCTGTGCAGAGGGGAGCTCAGAAGCTTCTGTGCTCCCCTCCAAGGAGGAGCAGGCCCTAGCAAGTGTGGGTTCTTGGGAAGAAAGCTCCCGCAACCGTCAGAGATTTTCAGAAGTCTGCGATGGCCAAAGGCTCTGCCAGGGGGTGTGAAATGAGCTGAGCAGTCGGACACTGAAGTGTGTGTGTGTGTGTGTGTCAACTTTTTTCAGATGATTGAGCCAGTGGATGTCTTCTGGAACTGCAACAAGGGATACCTCAGTGTAGTTCATAGCCTGCCTAATGGGGATATTCTGATTGCCAACATGGGAGATCCAGCTGGCAATGGAAAAGGTAACTTGGCCACTGAAAACACTAAAGTGAATATCAAGTTGGGATCATTTTTGGTCCTCAAAACTTCTGCTTAGCACGTATAGGAATCTATAAACACATCTCTTTACCTAGCAAAGAGCTGTAGAGTCTTTGCAGCTAAGTATCTCAAGTATTTTGAAGATCTTGGCTGTTTAAGCTAGGCTAATGCACAAAGCACAATACCTATTTAGACGTGGAGTATGTGATTTGTTGTGCATCCCCTTTTTGTATCACAGGTGGATTTATTGTGCTGGATGGAGAGACCTTTGAGCTGAAGGGGAACTGGGAAAACGAGTGTGAGGCCCCCCCCACTGGATACGACTTCTGGTACCAGCCACGCCACAATGTTCTGATCAGCTCTGCTGGATTAGTCCCAAAACGTGCGGGACGTGGATTTAATCCCGACGACTTGAAGAAAGGTGAGGCAATAGGGATGCAAGCGCTGAGCCAGAACTGCCCGAGGTGGTGGGAGGGTGTCGATGCGGTCAGAGAGAGGGGACAGGAAGATTTCTCCCCAAACGGCCCATTTTACAGGCACTGCTACAGGGCGTGCAGCGTCTGTCCTTAAGAGAGGCTGGCCCCTGTCTTTTCCCGCTGCTCCCTAAATCACGGCAGTTTCTCTGCTAATTCTGGCTGGACGGTGCCATGGCCGTTGGTGTCTGTGAGCATTTGGGGAGGGGTGAGTCTCCATGGGTAGCCCCCTCTCTCCTGACTTGGTTTTCCTTTTCCTCAGGGGTCTTTGGGCGCCGCCTGAACGTGTGGAACTTGTCCTGCCGCACCCTCACCCAGTGCTTTGACCTGGGGGAGGACTCTTTGCCCCTGAGTGTTAAATTCCTCCACAACCCCGATGCTGCTGAGGGATACGTCAGCTGTGCCCTGAGTGGCATCGTCTACCGCTTCTACAAGTGCGAGGCAAGTATTCTGCCAGCAGCCACGGGAGACCCGGCCATGGTGAGCTAGAGGGTGATGGAGAAACGCGCAGAAGAAATTTGGGGTAGCAGAGAGAAAGAAGGAGGCGTGTGGAGAGGGCGGTATCCAGACCCTGCTTTGGACGTGTGTGCTAGAATGAGAGGAGTCTGTTCTTCCACTGAGTGTAAAAGCCCATCGTGACCAGTTGGGACTTCTTGGATGAACATCTGGGGGATTAATTGGAGCGATGAGGCCCAGCCTCGCTGTTGGTATCAGACGATGCTGCCCTTACTGGTGTCTGCTCGTAGTAGCTGGGTGCAGTGGTAGCCTTCCTCAGGCAGCTTTGCCTAGCTGTGCAAGTGTGTGAGGGCAGGGGAGCGCTCTTGCCTGAGCAGGCAGGAGCGCTCCTGGAGCGGTGCCTGTGTTTCTTGTACAGAGAGACAACTGGGCAGTAGAAGAGGTGATTCGGATACCGGCCAAGGACGTGACGGGATGGATTATGCCCAAGATGCCAGGTTCGTGTGCCCTGAGGTGGTGTTTCCTTTTTCCTCCCGGAGCTTTGTGTTGTGCAGCTTGGCAAAGGCCACTCGCTGACCCTCAAAGCCTTGCTGCGTAAACACGGCGGAAGGCTTGTCGGAGGGGCTGAGGGGCTGCGCACACCCCCAGGAAGACACTGCTGCCCCGGCTGGAGCCTGTGCACTTGGGCAGGTCTCCTGTGCTGGAGGCACGACGTACAGCATGGCAGGGAGAGATGCGAGCTGGGGCTCGAAGCAAGGCACGTTTTCTGTTGCTGCTGCCTTCTCTAGAGCTCTTTGTTTCTGTGCCCTAGCCTTCACAGTCGACCTCATCATCTCAACGGATGACAAGTACCTGTATCTCAGCAACTGGCTGCACGGAGACATCCGCCAATACGAGCTCTCCAAAACCTGCAAGCCCAGGCTGGTGGGACAGGTAAGGCAGGAGCAGAAGGGCTTGCACTGTTGGGCTCCCTAGCGGTATCTGGTGGTGGTTGGATGACAAGGCAACATGTGTCCCGCTGCCTGGCTTCCAGGTGTTTGTGGGAGGCAGTATCCTCAGAGGCGGACCCGTGACTGTGTGTAGAGACGAAGAGCTGAAGTGCCAGCCGGAGCCCTTGGTGATCAAGGTGAGTTCTGCGTCGTCTTTGCCCTCTGGTGTCCTTTGGACTTGGGCTCTGCTCTGCTAGTTCTCTGCCCAGGGTTTCTGGGGTGGGGCCCCGTTGCAGTGGCCCGTGTGTCTGCAGCACCTGGTAGCTTGCCTGTGTTAGAAGGGGAGGCAGCCGCTCTGCTCTGCTCTGCTCTGCTCCCCTGCCCCTGCTTGTGCTTGGCTGCTGAACGAAAGAAGCCAGTAACACCACTGCTGTCTGTTGTGCCTTCAGTGCAAGAGAGTGTACGGCGGCCCTAGTAAACTGCAGCTCAGCCTGGATGGCAAGAGGCTGTACGTCACCAACTCCTTCTACAGCACGTGGGACAAGCAGTTCTACCCGACCGTGGTCAAGTAAGAAACATGTGGGAGGAAAGGAAAGGGGCCTCTTTGGATGGGCTCTCTGTTAGAGAGGGGAAAGGCGCCTCATCTGGGGGGCTACAAGGACGCGTTTGTGATTGCAGAGGGACAGCTTTTCCTAACATCGTCCCCGCAGCTTCCTCACGTTGAATTTCACATGCAGTTGACTCACAAGCGTCTCTGGCTGGGCGAGGTGCGGCTGCTGCCTGTGCGGAGCGGCAG